TGTCTTGTTTTCTCTGGTGGAGCAGCTGACAAACTGTTGAAATGTTGGAAATGTAGCAAGGAGCGAGGCATGATTAAAATCACCAGATATAGCCACAAATGCATTGGGGTGCTGGGTTTGTAGCTTAGTGACAACGGAACTGATGGCATCACATGCATTCTCAGCAATGGCTGAAGGTGGAATATAAACGGTTGCCAAGACAACACTGGTGAACTCTCTTGGCAAATAATATGGGCGACAACTTACTGCCAAGAGTTCAACATCTGGGCTGCAGAGACGACATTTCACTAAAACATGACATGGATGGAACCATGTATTGTTGACAAGCACTGCCACTCCACCTCCTTTTCTTTTCCCGCTCCTCTTCAGATCTCTGTCTGCTCGTACAGTCAGGAATCCTGGCAGAGAGACGCTGGAATCGGGGATATGGTCCTGCAGCCACGTCTCAGTGAAACACATAACACTACACTGCCGATACTCTGATTGAGTCCTTGAAAGGGCTTGGAGTTCATCCATCTTGTTGGCCAGTGATCTCACATTGCCCATTATGATCGATGGAAGAGATGGTTTGAATTTTCTCTTTCTCTGTGTCCGTTTTGCTCCCGCTCTGCACCCACGCTTCTTGCGTTTTAGCTCATTTGGGATTTGTGGCTTCAGTTGAGGTATTATTTCAGCCTTCCCAATGTTAATCAGCTGCTCCCGATTGTAAACCAGCTTGTTGCCATGGTTACACATCATAACAAATGCTCAAAAAGTAAAAAGATAGCAGTAAAAATCCTCCAAGCTTCACAGCACCAGAAACAGAAAAGTAAAATATCCAAAAAAAAAAAAAAATACAGTTTTTCTTGAGAAACTAGAAGAAAAAAAATGTCCAAGAAAAGGCTAAACTTACATATAGTCAACAGAGCTACTCCAACATGCAGCCACCTAGAGCAGCGCAGTTCTGGAACTGTGGATGTGGATAACGGCGTTAAAACGATTAAAAGTAAAATAACTAACAATACATATGTAAGGAAAATAACTACATACTGGTAAATAGCATTTCTTGCAGAAATGCTGTTTGAATGCTGATTGCTGAAAAGCTGAGCAGATCCATCAATGTAACATGTCATAATTTTAGGATTCTGGGTTGGAGCAGAGGCAGAAATTTGATTTATTTTTTATTTTTTGACAGGGGGATAAACCGTGCAGTTTCAGAGAATAATTTGTGTGGGGGACATGAAAAAATGTCTTCTTCCTGCTGTTTTGCAACTTGCAGGGTGGGCTTCCTGCATGAGCAAATTCACAGAGAAACCAGCCAATAAGAGGTGTCCGACTATCAGGAAATAATAGGGAGCCTAAAGCTGGGCGGACACTGTGCGACTTTTTCACTCGTAGCACTCAGCTTCAGCTCAAACTGTACGACTTCCTCGCAGTGTGCGGTTCTGATACTTTTTGGGTCGCAGCTGCTCGCAGCGCCGCTTCAACAGTGCAATACCCTCACGAGGGACGAGCAAAATGTTAAACACTCCAGAAGTTTGTGCAAGCTCACAATTGCTGATCGTTAGCTGGTCACGTGGTGTTAATCGCCTCTCGTAACCCCTTGTACACTACACGACGCTCGGCGTAAAACTCGCCCCGATCTCGTGGATTCTCGCACGAGTGGAAAATGGGCTCAAAAAAGTGAAAAAGTCGCACAGTGAACGCCCGGCTTAAGTCACTTCCGCACCATGGGTCCCCGGAAGAACGAAAAAATGAAGGCAAGTCAATGGGCCTAAAAACGCTATTTTCTAATTCCACTTGTTTTGTGCGCTTCAAAAAAGTGACATCATCAAACCAGACATGGAGAAAACTGAAGGAAAAGGGCTGTAAGTTCAGCAAACCTCCCACAGTAGGAAAGAACCATCATAAATCTGGTCATTTGATAAGTAGCAGCTACGCTAGGGGAGAGGAGATAATGTGGTGACGTGACATCACATATGCAACATGCCGATTTCTAGTTTGTAGTCATGCTAATTACAAACTTTTACAAGCTAATAAATCTCAAAGTACGTGACTGGCGTGGTCGAAACGCCCACCATTACTTTCATTTAAATTGCAGTACAACATATGTGTGATCCAGGGCGTAAGGCAAAGTGGAATATAAAATAACGTTTTTAGCCCTGTTAACTTGCATTCATTTTTTGTTTTTGCCGGGGACCCATGGTGCAGAAGTGACTTAGACTCCCTATAGGGTATTCAATCCTGCCGTTTCTTGCCCTCTCTTCAAACTAACTTCTCTTCCCTGAAACAGGAGCATCAGAGCATTTTTACCCAAAGAGATGGACTTACAAGGCATTTATTTATACTAGAAACCACTGCAAATGTTCTAAAAAAACAAGTGAACTTGGTATCTCAGTAAACAATGGTAGAACTTGAGGTAAAGTACCACAACATCTCTGGAACATTTTCACACTAAAAAGAGAGAACACCATCTAAAAATGAAATGTCAAAACAAAATTTCATTAAGTCTCATGATGTGGAAGCTATTGTCACATCTACAAATGTCCCCATCAAAATAATGATATTAAATATGGAAACTATCTGTATAATCTAATAGAACAGTTCTGGGGTGAAGTTACTTAAAGTGAAATCTGTTATATATTTTCAATTGTATGTCTGTGATGAGCAGCAACACAAAAAGATGATCAGGTCTGCTGTATCGTGTCACAACTTTGTGAAACATTAAAAACCAGGATTAACATGTCTGTCACATATACAACCTAAAACTAACTTCAGGGTGGTTTTATTTTGCTTTTCATGGTGGCGACACTGATGTAGATGTTTCAAAATCAAAAAGTTTAGGGACACTAAATAAAGTGATGTTTTAAAATATGCTGCTCATCTGAGACGTTAAATAGATGTATAGTGGTGAATATCTGGAAAAAATATTCAGTCTGCCTAAAAATGGTTCAACTGCCACCTGTTAGATTTTTAGGGATTCGAGATTTTTCAAACTTAATTCAAATTTCTGCAGTTGTCAGTAAGTAAAAGTTATTTATATAGCACTTATCACAGAAAGAAAAATCAGTGTTTCACAGAGATCAACAAAACAACATGTAGTCATTAAATCATCCTAAGAACTAAATAAAATGTCATGAAACAATTGAAAGATAATTAATATCACAAAATTTTTAACACTTTTAACATTTTAGACCCTTTGCAATCAGGGTTCCGTCCCGGTCATAGTACTGAGAATGCCCTTCTTAGAGTTTTTAATGATGTTCTGCAGTCCTGGACAACCCGCTCTACTTCCTGAGCTACTGAGGTCAGAAAGGGCCTTACTATAGATGATCAGACATTTAGTCTTTTCAGAGTTTAACTGAAGGAAGTTATCTTCTAGCCAGCTGGTGACAGCTGATAGATTCAGACCGTATACAAAAGTCAGAATCCTTTTATATATATGTGTGTGTGTGTGTGTGTGTGTGTGTGTGTGTGTGTGTGTGTGTGTGTGTGTGTGTGTGTGTGTGTGTGTGTGTGTGTGTGTGTGTGTGTACGATTAAGTTCCTATAGAACCTGTAACTTCTGTTAGAAAGGTACGATCTAAACCAGTCTAGAACAGTTCCAGAGATCCTCACATGGTTCTGAACAGTGTCAAAAACTGCAGAAACATTCAACAACCCTCTGGAGGCAGACGATGCAGATTTGCAGCAGTTAAAACTAGGGCCGGACCGATATATCGGCCGGCCGATATTATCGGCCGATATTAAGGTCATTAACACTATCGGCTATCGGCCAAAAAGACGGCCGACATTGCGCTACCTGTCCAGCAGATGGCGCCAGCTTTATGTATAAGTTTTGTGAATAGGTTCACCAAGTTTACTTCCAAAGAGTGTTACTTTGTTACAAAGCACAAGCATTACATTTTATTTATTGCTACATTTTTATTATTTTAATATTCTTATAAGGATCTTCTGTCCCTAAACTTGTGCGTGTTGTTAGATTCCCCAGAGTTAGCTAAGTCAGAAAAAACATTTTGTAACCAGTTGTTTTAGCATAAAGCAATGGAAGGGAAGGCTTGCATTCACCTACATAAAAAATACTACAGTATATGTGAATTCACTTACATTGTTTTATGCTAAACTAAGAAAACCACCTGCTGCCAGATCATATTGGGCTGGTTATAAAATACTTTTTCTGACTTGTCTAACTCTGGGGGATCTTAACAAGACACAATTTGACTGAGTGGTGGAATATTCCTTTAAGTTAAAATATATTTGTGGAAACCACAGTTTACAAGAAAAAACTTGAATGATAGATTTATGCTGTGACTGAGTTTGTTTGTTCTGTTGTTTTTGAGATCTGCTAAATAAATCTTATTTGCATTACTTGGAAACCCTAGTGAGTTATTGAGACAGTTCTTTGATCTGTAATAGAGAAATAAGTTTGCATCAAATAGGCAGAGAATGAAGGGTTTAAGCTTAAGAAAATTTTTATTTTTATTTTTTGTGAGGGAGATTTATCGGCCATTATATCGGCTATTGGCCTTTTGTTAAAAGTTTTATATCGGTATCGGTCCCAAAAAAAGCATATCGGTCGGGCCCTAGTTAAAACTTACCTACCTGGTTACTCCACATACATATTTCATGAGCATTTTTTAACTCAAAAGTACCCCTGAAAGACTTAGTTGTTCGTCCTTGTATTAAAACTTATTTTGAGCCTGAGAGGGTTAATGATGCATGAGAAGTTTTGTTAACAAACCTTCGTCCCTTCTGAAATCTCTTCTTTCTTTGGTTGGGGGTGAACTGGAGCTCCCAGAGAAAACCCCCTATGCCACACAAGGAGACACAGTAATGATTTGGATAAGTGTTTTCTGTGACATAATCCTTGCGTTGCTTTTTTCCCCCCCAAAGATGAGGACATGTGGTAATGTGTGTCAGGGAAGGGACGTGGTTTTTAGTCACCCTTGATGGAATTGCTTTGTCATGACTCGAGGTAAGTGTCCAACCCAAGACATGCAGAATCAATACTCGTCGGGCAGATTGAGTAAAAGTAAAGTTCTTTATTATTAAACGGGAACAAAAATAGCACAGGGAAGTCCTGTGGGAGTGAGCGGTGCAGCTCGAGTCCAAGTAGCGCTCGGGATGAATGAGGGAGGCGGGGGAGCAGAGGTGAGCGCTGGGCAGAGGGTGAGCGATCCGGGATGGGTGAGGTCGCAGAGAGGGGCCAACAGGAACAACGGAGGAGGATGAGACGTGGTGTATGAATCCAGAGTACAAAAACAGCGAGAGGGAAGCAGGTTGAGTGCGGATCCTGAAGGAAGGGAAACAAACACCAGGCGTAAGGGATAATCCAAAAACAGTCCGAGGTCAAAATCCAAGTATCCAATAACGAGACAAAGCGAGCAAACAAGAACGAGTACAAAGGGCTGGGGCTACCTAAACTGGTGCAATCATCCGGCGTAGTGAGGTGTCTCCATCCTCCTTTTAAACCCGAGTTCCTGATTGGGATCTCCTTCCGCTCCTCACCTGAGGGAAATCAGCTCAATCACAGTTAGAGTGGAGATGGTGCCACTCACCTCGGCTCAGGAACATGACATGCTTTTTTTGTACTTCATCTAAAACCTAACAAACTAATGATTTATCTATTGACTAACGAACTAAAAAACTAAAAAGTCATAGCCGACCTTTCCAAGCTTAATGCTTTCACCACATTTGAGTAAACTGCTGAATAATTGTAGCTCTACAGTGAAAAATGTACAGAAGAGTCATATAAACTGAAACAGAAAGCTAACTAACTAACTAACTAACTAACTGACTAACTAACAACTAAATAACAACTAACTGACTAACTGACTAACTAACAACTAAATAACAACTAACTAACTAACTAAGTAACTAACTAACTAACTAACTAAAAGAAACACCTTCAAAATAGAAGGAAGTTCAGGCTTTTTTCCCCTATAAAATGGGTTTCCACTTTACGTTCTTGGTGATTGGCTCAATAGGTTTCCCTCTAATTGGACGTAGAACGGTCCGTCTTGGTTTGGGGTTGAGACCAGATGGTGTGTGTGGTTCCTTCCTCAGTGGACTCCTTTAAAAAGCAGCTGAAGACTCACTTGTTCAAGCTGGCTTTTGTATGACCTTCTTCACCACTCTCTCTTTATTCTGCTCTCCCCACCTATTCCACCTTCCTCAGGATCCACTGATTTCCCTCTTTCCTGTTCACTCTCTCTCTTTCTTAACATTTTTTAATCACAATTGCCTATTTTTGCTCATTTAAAATATATTTTTAAACATTTTCTAAATGCTTTTTAATATTTTTACATTTTTTGATTTTGTGAAGCGCCTCGTGATTTTTATCTTGAGTGGCGCTCTAATAGAAATGTAACTTTCTTCTTCTTCTCAACATCCTCAGAACCAGCCTCCACCTTTTTCAAAGATGAAATTAACTCCTTCTCCTTTCCAATTTTCTTTGGAGAAGTGTCCATCTTTTTTGCTTCAGCCCCCAGTTCATTTCTAGATTTCGTGCTTTTGGCTTCCTTGGGAGATGTTTCATTCCTATAGCCACCATCGGAGCCTGTCAACAATCTGTCTTCAATGATATCGTCAGACCAACCAAATTCCTCCAACAATGAATCCAAGAACTCATCGTGAGACATATTCTCAGATGAAATTAACTCTTTCTCCTTTTCAGTTTTCCTTGGAGAAGTGTCCTTCTTTTTTGCTTCAGCCCCCAGTTCATTTGTAGATTTAGTATATTTTTGTGCCCTGGAAGATTTGACATTCCCAAAGCTATTTTCAAATTCATCTGTAGGAACTGGTAGAACGTTTTGGGGGAGTCCAGTATGTCTGCTTCTCACTGGAGGTAAAACGGTTTGTCGTTGTTTGGGGTTGAACCTGGATGGTGGGCTTTGTTCACTTATTTTGCTGGTTTCAGATGTTGTGGCTTGATTTTTCGGAGACCATCTCCCAGGTAAAGATAACTCAATATCCTTTTCAGTTTTCCTTGGAGAAGTGTCCATCTTTTTTGCTTCAGCCCCCAGTTCATTTGTAGATTTCGTGCTTTTGGCTTCCTTGGGAGATGTTTCATTCCTATAGCCACCATTGGAGCCTGGCAACAATCTGTCGTCAATGATATCATCAGACCAACCAAATTCCTTCAACCATAAATCCAAGAACTCTCCGGGAGACATATTCTCAGATGAAATTACCTCTTTCTCCTTTTCAGTTTTCATTGGAGAATTGTCCATCTTTTTTGCTTCAGCCCCCAGTTCATTTGTAGATTTTATATATGTGTGTGCCCTGGAAGAGTTTTCATTCCCAAAGCTATTTTCAAATTCATCTGTAGGAACTGGTAGAACATTTTGGGAGAGTCCAGTATGTCTGCTTCTCACTGGAGGTAAAACGGTTTGTCGTTGTTTGGGGTTGAACCTGGATGGTGGGCTTTGTTCACTTATTTTGCTGTTTTCAGATGTTGTGGCTTGATTTTTCGGAGACCATCTCCCAGGTAAAGATAACTCAATATCCTTTTCAGTTTTCCTTGGAGAAGTGTCCGTCTTTTTTGCTTCAGCCCCCAGTTCATTTGTAGATTTCGTGCTTTTGGCTTCCTTGGGAGATGTTTCATTCCTATAGCCACCATCGGAGCCTGGCAACAATCTGTCTTCAATGATATCGTCAGAACAACCAAATTCCTCCAACAATGAATCCAAGACCTCTGCCATTGCTCGACCTTTGGGAGACTTTTTCACTGATGAAATAAACTCTTTCTCCTTTTCAGTTTTCATTGGAGAAGTGTCCATCTTTTTTGCTTCAGCCCCCAGTTCATTTGTAGATTTAGTATATTTTTGTGCCCTGGAAGATTTGACATTCCCAAAGCTATTTTCAAATTCATCTGTAGGAACTGGTAGAACGTTTTGGGGGAGTCCAGTATGTCTGCTTCTCACTGGAGGTAAAACGGTTTGTCGTTGTTTGGGGTTGAACCTGGATGGTGGGCTTTGTTCACTTATTTTGCTGTTTTCAGATGTTTCGACTTGATTTTTCGGAGACCATCTCCCAGGTAAAGATAACTCAATATGCTTTTCAGTTTTCCTTGGAGAAGTGTCCATCTTTTTTGCTTCAGCCCCCAGTTCATTTGTAGATTTCGTGCTTTTGGCTTCCTTGGGAGATGTTTCATTCCTATAGCCACCATCGGAGCCTGGCAACAATCTGTCGTCAATGATATCGTCAGACCAACCAAATTCCTTCAACCATAAATCCAAGAACTCGTCGTCAGACATATTCTCAGATGAAATTACCTCTTTCTCCTTTTCAGTTTTCATTGGAGAATTGTCCATCTTTTTTGCTTCAGCCCCCAGTTCATTTGTAGATTTTATATATGTGTGTGCCCTGGAAGAGTTTTCATTCCCAAAGCTATTTTCAAATTCATCTGTAGGAACTGGTAGAACATTTTGGGGGAGTCCAGTATGTCTGCTTCTCACTGGAGGTAAAACGGTTTGTCGTTGTTTGGGGTTGAACCTGGATGGTGGGCTTTGTTCACTTATTTTGCTGTTTTCAGATGTTTTGGCTTGATTTTTCGGAGACCATCTCCCAGGTAAAAATAACTCAATATCCTTTTCAGTTTTCCTTAGAGAAGTGTCCATCTTTTTTGCTTCAGCCCCCAGTTCATTTGTAGATTTCGTGCTTTTGGCTTCCTTGGGAGATGTTTCATTCCTATAGCCACCATCGGAGCCTGGCAACAATCTGTCTTCAATGATATCGTCAGAACAACCAAATTCCTCCAACAATGAATCCAAGACCTCTGCCATTGCTCGACCTTTGGGAGACTTTTTCACTGATGAAATAAACTCTTTCTCCTTTTCAGTTTTCATTGGAGAAGTGTCCTTCTTTTTTGCTTCAGCCCCCAGTTCATTTGTAGATTTAGTATATTTTTGTGCCCTGGAAGAGTTTTCATTCCCAAAGCTATTTTCAAATTCATCTGTAGGAACTGGTAGAACGTTTTGGGGGAGTCCAGTATGTCTGCTTCTCACTGGAGGTAAAACGGTTTGTCGTTGTTTGGGGTTGAACCTGGATGGTGGGCTTTGTTCACTTATTTTGCTGGTTTCAGATGTTGTGGCTTGATTTTTCGGAGACCATCTCCCAGGTAAAGATAACTCAATATCCTTTTCAGTTTTCCTTGGAGAAGTGTCCATCTTTTTTGCTTCAGCCCCCAGTTCATTTGTAGATTTCGTGCTTTTGGCTTCCTTGGGAGATGTTTCATTCCTATAGCCACCATCGGAGCCTGGCAACAATCTGTCGTCAATGATATCGTCAGACCAACTAAATTCCTTCAACCATGAATCCAAGAACTCGCCGGGAGACGTTTTCTCAGATGAAATAAACTCTTTCTCCTTTTCAGTTTTCCTTGGAGAAGTGTCCATCTTTACCACCTCAGGCCCCAATTTTTTTGGTATTTTGGAGCAACTGTCTTCTTTGGGATATATTTCATTGCAAAAGCTCTTTTGAACGTCATCATCAGAGTCAGAAGACCATGGGTCTGTAAATATTTCTTCATTCTTTGATGTTTCCTGAATCCCTGCATGATATTTAGGAGCCTTTTTCCCTGGCGAAAGCACTTCATTGTCCCCTCCATTCTCCTTTAGAGGCGCTTTTACCCTCTTCGGTTTGAGAGGCTTTGCCTTCAAAAATATCTCTTCAAATTTTCCCTCAGAGCCTGACTTCCCATCATCGGCGCTGAGTTGACTGATTTGTTTCCTGAGCTCCTCACATTCATTCTGTTGCTTGTCGTTTATTCTCTGAAGCTGTTTTTGCTTTTCCTTGCTAATCAGGAGCTCTTGAGTCAGTTCTTCCACCTTTTTCGGGAGTTCTTTGTCTGGCTCAAAATCTGGACTTTTTAAGTATTCCAGCTCATACTCTGCAGTTTTAATTGCGTCCTTCAGCTGGCTAATTTCGTTGATATATTTTGTAATTTCTTCTTGTGAAGCCAATTCCAGCTCCATTAGTTCCGTGTTGTGCCTTTGTTTCATCTCCTCGAGCTGAATACGCAGCTCATCTATAACCTTATTACTGGACTCCAGCTCTTGTTCTGCCTTCCTTAGGGCGGCGGCTTTCGCTGTTAATTTTTTGTGTAAATTCCTGCGAGAAACAAGGCCCTCCGATGTGTTATTTATATAAACTTTGATGTTTTCTAAGGCTGTTGATAACTGATTACTGACAGGTTCCTTCTTATTCAGTAAGATTCCTGCATTATCAGAAACAGTTTCCACAAAACTCCTGACGTCTTTGTGAAGCTTCTTGTACTGCTCTTGTTTGTTTTCTAGCTTCACCTTTAACTGATCTAATTTTAACTGAAGTTCGGATGATTGAGAATCTTCTTT